ATGAAAGAACCAGTTTTTTAATAAGCCTGCTTTGGCATAGCAGATGCTCACAACTTGTCCTAACTAATGTTTTATAGGACAGCAACTACCATCACTGAAATAAAATATTTTTTCTTAGAGTATACATAACGTGGTGCAAAACAAATACTTTGAAGACTTTCAAGAATTTCCCTGACTGGGCCATGCAAAGAACACACCAGACAGATGGAAAATTAGGGAATTTCTCTTTCTGAGTAGGAAAAAGAGTACGCTGCCAAAATCTCCTGTGGGTTAGGATATTGCCCTGACCCTTGTGGAGGATTTCCTGGAGCCCAGTATCAATGGGAACAATTCCACAGGCTGAAAAATTGGAGGATTTCACCTGCCATATGTTTCCCTTGTTCTGGTTTTGTATTAAACCCACAAAAGCCTAGAATTTAGTGGAGTGGAAGTAGCCAAAGGATGTGGAAATCCTTGCTCGCTCTTACTCGGCTCGCAAGCAAAGTACGCGGGCTATATATAGGTAGCGTGCAATACTGATTTCTCTAGGGAAGTGATTGATCTTCTCTCAGTGTAAACCACTCCCTCACCGGCTTAGGCCGAAACGAGATAGAGATGCTGCCTTGGCTTCCAACACCGACGAGGAAATAAATTTTAAAACAGCCCCGTCCGTGTCAGCGGCACCGCTGACCCTTGTGCGGCATCCTTGCGCCGTTTTGGAGCCTCTCTCCGGGGAGAGCTCGGTGGGTGCCGGGGCGCCCGGGGATCCCCCACTCCCGGCGGCGCCCCTGGGAGCCGCTCGCACGCAGTGGGTTCCCCGCTCGGGGCTTGCAGGAGCCCGGCGCGTCCCGGAGAGCGGCGGTCCGGGAGTGCCACCTTCCCGCTGGGAGCAGCCGCCTTTCCTCTGGGAGCTCCCGCAGCCCCGGCCCGCGGCTGCCGCCCGCCGGAGAGAGCGGGCAGGGCCGGCAGTCCGGACTCCGTACGGCCCCGGGCCTCTGGCGTTTCGTCCTCTGCCACCCGCTGCCTCTGGATCGAGTCCATCGCCGAGGATGGAAATCCCGCATCCCCTGGAAAGGCAGCTGATCTCAGCGGGACGGCATCGGGACGAGGAGCAGCCCCAGTTTACCTGCGAGGTGCATCTCACGGCGGGTTGGCTGCCCATCACTTCTCACTCTCAGAATTACTCTCCCAGAGCTCCTCTTATTTTTTTCTAATTAAAAAGCCATTCAGCAATCTTTTTTATTCCGGAGGGCATTCATTACGTGTTCAGCTCATACTGATTCACCAAATTCCAATTTACAACCCCAAACGAAGTCTCCCATTAGGATGGCTGGTACAAGACATCCTCTCTCACCTATCGCTTTGAGACCTCCCATCAGCACCCTCACCTGTTCTGTTTCAACATCACTGTGAAGTGTAGATGTGAGGTCCAACAATATTTTGTTGTTGCACTCCCCGGGGCTATGTGGGAAGGTAACAATTTCATTTCTTACCATCATTCTGCCTTTACGTCTCCTTTTAATCCTTTTTGCTGCTGCAAGCCCTCAGAAGCCCCTGTCAGATGCCTGCCCCAGTGATCCAGTAACGCTACTGGCTCTATGTAGGCTTTTCCCTGTAGCCTCTGCTTGCCAGTTCCAAATTCATAGTTTTGTCTTTGCTTTGAGATGCCTTTGTAAACCAGCCCACATCACAGAACAAGCCAGGCTGTATCATGTGTCTGCCCTGCCCAGTCACCTCTCTCTTGGTAAAGCTGGTGCCAGCTGCAAATGACAGGGATGACTTGCACATTTCCTCCAATATTATTCCTGCTACTAATGCCTGTGGAACATCTCTAGAGAAATCTTTGACCAACAACTGCTTTTCAAGTGTTTTTATGCCTGTCAGCTAAGTAGATTAAAGGCCATTTAATTTGGACTGTTTCTTTTTCATAAGTAATGCCAGACTGAAGCAAGGAGTTTATCAATGCTCATGTGATTTTTATCAGTGCAGTTAACTTTTTTTATCATAATTCTGATTTTGCCTAAGAACAAAACCAGACTTATTTGATAAAGTTGTGGAGGTTTTTCTGTAGAAGGGACACTAATTACACACAGCTTTCCCTCATGACCCTTTTCTCAACTAACAGCCACCAATGGGCCTCAAGGTTTCAGAATTTTCCCAGTCTTCCAAGGTAAGTCTAAGTCTAAGTTGGTCAGCCATTATTCCTTGGACTTTTGGTACAAGTGTCCTGCACGTTTTAATGAAAAAAAACCCCAACTGTCCAAATTTGTTCTTTCCCTTTAGAAGATACCCAGTGTTCTCTTTTTTGTAGAAAGGACTATGGGATTCTCAGCCATTCTCATACAACAAGTAAGCCATCACCCATAAAACAGTATCTCACTGCTTTCTAAATACATAAGGTACTAATAATTTCAATATTTTCCTTTTTTGTATCAATAAAAATTTACTACTGACATATACTAATAGGAACATATAGTTTAAAATTTTAAGTGGTTTTGGTCTCTTCTTGTACACCTCAGAAACTCTCTTTTTGTATTTAGGTCTGCTAGTCAAGACTTCTTTTCCTACCATTTATTTATTACTGATGAACCTCATTAGTTTCTTCCTACATTTATTACTATTGATTTCCATTTCTTTCTGTTTGATAAACAATGCTCTTTGCCAACAGGTTCATTTATTTCCACTTGAAGTGGACTCTGCTTGTGTTGTTCTCTTCACTTTGTCACCAAGCATATGAAGTGTGAAACCTCGCAACTCAGCTGGTTTAGAAATTAAAGGCATATGGTGGCAGTGTGGTAGTGAGCCACTTCAGGGAACCAGCTAGGTTTATAACCATTTGTCTTATGAGGTCCTTCAGTTCATGGTTTTACCTTTGTCATGGAACATTCAAATTATCTGGAAATAAAAAAAAAAAAAAAAAAAAAAAAAAATCCTGATTATGGCCTACTGTACTGAATCTTGTAGATTTGGTTACAAGAAAAAACTGTTGAGTTTGATGATTTCACCAGCCACAAACCTGGTTACTTCTGTTCAGGAATCCAAAGTGGTAAGATAAAGGTTGTAGACAGAAACCTTAAAACCTGTCTTTTGCTGTCCTGTGGTCACATTCTGGAAAAACATGTCAGCTATGGGAGAATTGTGAACATCGTAAGAGAGGCCCTTTACATCCACGTATTTCATCGGCTTCCAGCCGCGTCAGGCTCCTCTCCTGTAGTTTTCCCCTTCAGCTTCTACGAAGCCCCCCCTTCCCTTTTCCCCACGGAATTTCCTAAACTCTCTCTCTTGGGGACAGCAGCGGCCGAGCCTCCCCAAGCGCCCTGCCGGACACTGTTATCCTCCCTTAGGGGCGGCAGTGGCCGTGCCTCCCTGGGCAAGATGCCGTGCACCCGGCACCCCCTCCCAAGATGGCGCTGGCCATGCTACAGGGACCCCATTTTCCCGCCTTAACCGTTCTCTTTCGCCCACGTTTTCCCGCCAGCCCCACCCCTCCCTCAATGGTCCAGCACCATCCTGCAGCAAGGCCAGCCCCTACTGGGGGGGAGGTGAGGTTGGATTAATGCCTCAGTCCTTCTTCTGGCCCCCCCTCTGATGGGAGGGATCGCTGAAGGGGTCCCTCCATTAGAGGACCTCCCTTTGTAAGAGAGCTTTCCCCTTTGCTATGGGGGGGCCCCCCTTCAAAGGGAGTGGAGCTGGAAACCCATACCAGGGCTCCACTGTTTTCTTTCCCCTGAAACAGTGATGCCCAGGTTCACCCTCTATCCCATCTCCTATATGTACCTTGCCCAAAATTCCCTTATTATTTCAATACAAGTCTTCCCCATTGCTTGTGATAATTTGGAAATAACTTATTGGATTGAGTTATATCCTATAGAAGGAAAGATCATCATCTCTAATTACTGCCCACAATGCTATGCCAACTTCGTAATCAAATAATCAAATTGGAGAAACCACGTCGCCGTTCGCTGCCTGCTTCTGCTCTGCTAGAATTCGAAAAACCACAAGCATCGCGTCATGAATCCTGCTTTCATCCTCGATACAGAATGTGTTTATGAGAATTTTGTACCCTTTATCTTAAATTGTAATGTGGAAAAGATTTTTGCCCCATTCATTGCAACTATGATTGGTGTATCACTTTCTGATGTCTCTCGACTTAGGTTTTCTCAGTAATTTGTAATGTTGCTAATTTGTTTTTACCTCAGAACTCCCTTTCCTTTAGGTAAATTCAAAAGAGTGAGTTGAGGGATTTGAAATTTCCTCTTCTTCCCCCCCATTCCCGTGCGCTCCCCCTTTGTCCTGCGACCCAGCCCGCTCCTACCCCTTCCCCCCGCGGTCCTTTGTCCTGATCCTGCGTTCCCTTATCACTCCCCCTTGCCATGTGGTCGGTTCCTGCCCCCCAGCCTTTCCCATTGCGGTCCCCAGGGTCTCCCGGGGCTTCCCCTGCCTCCTGTCCTATCCCCATTGGCCACGGCTCATGTTCCCCCCCCCCCGCCCCCAGCATGGGGTATAACCGACCCTCGGGTCGGCGCCCCGGTGTCTCAGGAACACGCTTCCACAATAAACACGTGTTTGCACCTGAGCCCCATGTCGCTATTTCGTCTGTTCCTGCGCTAGAACTGAGCCTCGCAGAGCTGAAGAGGAAAAGCAGCCCCGCCTCTCCCATCCTCCCGCCGTGCTCCCGCAGGTGCCCGCCCGGAGCCGGTCTTGCATGGCAACAAACTGCTGCTGCTTAAGTCAAATTAAAACCTGGTCTGCCAATAGGTCTACAGTGAGAATATCTGAGAGGAGCCTATGACTGTATCAGCACTTAAACCAAATATAAAGTTCTGTGGTGAATATGTACAACAGGCCTCACAAGCAGCACTTTCTCCCTCAAAATCTGGCAGGGCAACTAAAAAGTTGCTCCATTCCATTCTGTAGAGTGGAGTTTAGTTTAAGAGACAGAAATAGCACAGTTGTGTGTAAATTAAATGACATTATTTGAAAACAACTCTGAAGGAATGGAGACTAAAAATCTCATCTAATTAATGTGCAACAATAGATGATGATTTATTGACTCCTCTGTGAATATACAGTTTCTACTGGCAATATTTAGATATGTTTTCTCAGAAATTCATAATTATTTATGTTTAGTAATTTATGATTAAACATTTTACAAGAAACAAGGCACTAAAATGTACAGTAAGTCATCCTTATTACATACACTGTGAGTGTCAAACATATAATACATTCCCCTGGCTTAAACAATTATTAAATTTCTTCCCCCTATGGTATTTATTGTTGAAGCCATAAGAATATATCTATTTTAGGGTCTTACTTTTTCTCCTTTTACTCACTATTTCTGTAGAAAAAAACAAAGAATTTGCTATAATATTAGCTACGCAATAAAGATAACGAAAACTACATTCATCACATTTCTAAGGACTCAGACATATTATGAGATCCTTAGAGATTCAAACTATAATATGGGTAATTTTTTATTAATTAAAAGAAAAAAAAAACCCAACAGTAAAAAAAAATTGTTTAAAGGTGCAATTCCAGAAGCTACTTCCATGCACACTAGAACCAACTCTGGTGGTGTCTGAGGCACTAAAATACTAAAACAACACTTTACAACAGGTGAAATGACTGGGCTGACACCATGCTAGGAAAATCAGATCAACCTAGTGGCTACCACTTGACTAAAAAGGACATCTTAATAGTGTATAGTTTTTAGCACAATTTAAAAAGCAAGCCCCAGAAAAAACTGTTGCTACTAAAAGGCAAAGACCACAAGAGATACCATCTAATACTCCATTGAAATACTTAGAAGGAGCAATACAAATTCAAGTATCTTGTGACAATCAGCCCAGTACTTAAGTACTCATTCTGTTTCTGGTTCTTGCTGACCATAAGCACAAACATGACAAAATGTAATTTTACATATTGCTAAAATACAACAGAATCTAATGTCACATACAACGCCATGTAAAGAAACAGTGGTTTCCTAATTATTTGACCACTTATACAAAAAGACAATGAGGAGTGCCTAGATTCAGATTTCTCCTTGATATTCTCAAGATCCTGTGATGACAGTATTTTAGAGATCCAATTTTTAATGCCTCTGCATTTGGACTGCAGTGATCCTGAGCCTCCTGAACACACATGGAAAGATTACCACTTTCAGAGGTTTTCAGAGAATCCTTGCAGTCTCCTTAATCAAACAAATTCAGGTGCAAATTCAGCACTGGTGGAATATACATGCAAAATAGGGGAAGATTCTGCTGGATAAGAAAAAGTGATGGTGGAGAAAGAACCACACCGGACGATGTCAAATAATACCCTCGGTCACTGCCAAATTAAAGTGAAAGTTTATTTTTCACCTTGGAGAGATAAAACTTCAAAAAATATGGCCACTATTAATGTATCATCACAAGATGGTAGTACTAGCAGAGACGGCCATAACACATATGTAAACGTATTATCTCTTAAAGCATTTCCACTTATTGGGTAAAAATAATGCTGTTAAACTGTATGATTTTTTGGAAGCAAGAGGTTCTTCCTCAGCAATGCAAATCAGTCAAAAACCTAGCAGGTCAGCACCTCTAAAGAACAAGCCTTGTAACTATATGAGTGCTGCTGGATAGTAGCTGGTGGTAGAACAGCTTGTGCATCTTGTGACTGGAGGTTCAGAAGCGCAACCAAAAAAGAAGGGCACGATTAGGGCTATGCCTTTAGGTCTGTGGGAAGCAGGACAGACTGGAATATTACTGTATTTGCATTTGCTAATTACCAGAACTTTTTTTTTTGGCTACTGTTGTAAAATGTCATAGTCTCTGCATCTCAAGAAGGTGAAGATCAGATCTCTCATTATTTAACCTTAAACTTCTGAGGAAAAGAAAAAGTGCAAAGTATAAATAAACACAAAAGTCCACATGTAGCTGAGAATACAAAATATTACAAAAAAATATAATTGGTTTATAGGTAATATGTTTATTTGGTTGAATTTATGTGTATATTTAAGTGGGCATGGATTAACACAGTTGGCTTACATTTTTTGTATTATTTAAGAATGCTGACAGAAAACTGCACCTGTCAGACTGAAGCTGTGTTAAATTATTGCCCTTGGTAATTGAACACTGACAAGACATAATTTTAGGTTGCCCCATGATTTGAACATTTTAATGTACAACAATTTAAAAAACCAATTGTTTACCACCCAAAGCCAGTTTTATGCATCACTAAAGTTGCCCACAGCTGTCACTATGTCCTTACTTGTGTTTGAAGCTGTGGCAGGACATGGGATTAAGTTTGCTGTGCTGTGGGCTTCAGTCACTTGTGTCTATGCTACGTATAAGAGAGGGGCTGAAATTTAAGCCAGTCTTGTCCCACATCAGATGTTCTCAGCCTGGCTCCCTCACAGCACAGGATTGCCCTGGATTTCCAGAAGCAGAGTTGATGACATTTGGACCAGATTGAGAGTAGAGAACACTTATCTACTGAGGCCATGGGACGGTGTGGAGAAATTTGCTGGCTTCAGTGGAATTGTGGAAATGTAAACTGGAAGTATGCAACTTATTTATCAGTCTACTAGAGGAGTAAAAGCAAGATTTACCCCATAAGACAGTGTTTTAGCTAGCTGAGACAAAGCACATTGTGATTATTTATTTTTTATACCTCTAAATTTGCCGCCTTGTCAATTTTAGAAGGCACCTCAGCAATACCGTTAGCAATGATGGTTGTCTTTGCTGGCTAAAAACTCTTATTTTTTTATTTAAATACATCCAACAGCTCTGATTTTATAACTGGAAAAGATGCCAGACAAGTTGAGAATGTGAGCACCTTGCCATGGTTGAACTGGCACCATCGTGTGGCTAAGCATATCCCAGCAGGAGTATTGCCTTTGAGGTAAACAGGATAAAATCAGCAGGGGAAGACTTCTTATGCTCTCAGCCACCAACAGAGTGCAACTTAACGCCCATTCCAGCCTCAGAGCCCTCCTGCAGGCCAGCAATTGAAAGCAAATTAAGTGCATTTTGGAAACCAGTGTTGCTTTATTTGGCAAGGACTTCTCATTATGCTTCGTTTGAGACAGAAAGTTGGAGGTAAGGCAATATTTGTATTGGATATTATTGTTCCCAAAGCAGAGGCTGAACCTCTCTATTAGGTCAGCAGTGATAACTGCCAGCCTGCCAAAATTTCTGCCCTGGTTTAAATACCAAATTCATCACATCACCTCCCTAATTTGCACTTTTCAGAATCTCAGTATTTATAAATTTTTTTTCAAATAAATGGAATTTATGTTGTGTGTGTCAATTCAGATAGCCCATGGGTTTTAACTATTTGAATTAGAATTCGAATAGTTATAAAGCCAAGCAATTCATTGGGCTGAAAGAGTGATCAGTGGGACCATGTAGGTGTCTAACAGAACAAAACAATTTTTGGAAAAGCTTTGGAGAGAGTAACAGGTCAAATTACAAACTCCACAATTTAACAGAAACAGGATTCCTCCCCATCCCCACATTATAGTGTGACACAGAATGAGTGGCAGGAGCTATATGGGCAATTCAGCTGGTCCATTTCAGGGCATAACTCAAAGAAAAGTAAAGGGATCTGTACATGACTAAATAATGGGCAGAGCTTGAGCAGTTCATATGGCTTATATGGCAACTTCTAAGTGCCATATAAAAAATAAATTACCACTAAATAGGCATATAATTTCAGATTCAAGTTCATGTCTCTCCAAGAACAGCCTCTTATAGCTGAGAAGGAATATCTGAAGATTTGTGGAATACAATTAATCTCAAGTTGTGCTGAATACAAACCCACTTCAACTCTCTTGCCAAACAAATTTGATTAATGAGGTGCTCTAACAGTTGGTTAGAGACTGAAGCACACAACTGTTCTGAAGCTGGACTGCACAGCAAAAGAAAAATAAACTATCAAAATTTTAAAAACTCACCTAAATAAAACAAGGACACTCTCCAAATCTATCTTGCCTTATTTCTGTTAAACCAGAGACTTGATTCCCGAAATACATCTATGTCTAGTGTAGATTTTGTATCTAGCCAGCTCCTCATCAAGAAAGGAACAGATAGTTTCTGGCAAATTGAGTGCTTAATATTTAATTTTTTTTGATTCCTTTTACTTTTTTTTTTTTTTTTTTTTTTTTTTTTTTGTGTGTGTGGCTGTTTTGACAGACTACAAGATTTGGCAAAAATACTTCTTGATTCTTAGAGCAGTTGACTGTCTGGTGAGATTAATCCCCACACTCTCCTGAAAACAATAGTTTTACAACCCTTTTCCTTGCTGTATAACCCATGCCATTTGGGAGACTATGTGCCGGACAGATTTCACATGGCTTTCCACAGTGTGTGTGCCTGTGTGTATGGATAATGTAGTGTTGGAAAACTGTCCAACTTCAATTTTACAAAAGTGAGGCCTAATAACTCTGGTGGGATTCCTACTTGAAAGTAGCTACTTTGTTTATTGTCAGGCACTTGTGAATGCTATGATTGAGGTGTCCAGAGTCTCAAAGGAAAGAGAAGTGAAGACCATGAGGGGAAATTGTTTGACATGTGTGACAATGTTACCTCTTGGGACAGCTATAAGCTGTCTTCACTTTGACTCAGTCTGATAACCAGAATTTTTTTTTTTTACTTTTATTTTTCTTTTTGACTTTGCAAGTTTTTAATTTGTTTTTAACATGACTGATGGTGTTGTCAGATGCCTAATCCCTTCAACATCAGAACAGTAAAATTTTCAGAGCCTCAGATAGTACATTTCTATTTTACAGCTCTAGTTTTAGGTCCAGCAATCTGCTCACATTTTTATGTGCACCTTATTTAGATATCAGAGAAACAAACTGATCATCAGCACAGAAGTGATACCAGAAACAGAAGCCACTGCTTGCTTTCACTGGAAAACATATTATCCTATTCTTATAGATGGAAACGAATGGTCATCTTTCTTTTTATCAAATGTACAAAATTCAGGGAGAGTGATGATGTGTGAATATACACTCAGCTGTCTTGAGAAGAAACAGAAAAATAATGTGGAAAGATAGGTAATTATCTTATGAAAACAACTAAGGTACATCGGACTTTCAAAAACAGAAAGCTAACTCAAAATATGAAACCACAGGACTGCCTTTGAGGGACTTGTCTGAAATAAAATCAGTTAGATGTTATTTTAAGATTTACATGTAATTCCTCTACCCACAGAGTAGCAAAATACAAATGTGTAGCAGTTTATTATTTCAATGTCATAAGGAGAAAAATACCTGAAAACATGATGCTACATGATACTATATGAATGTGTGGTTGTACAGACTGTAACCACAGAGATTCAGAACAAAACTGGAACATTATAATGCAAGTGGGGAAGAAGGAAAAGGACACATAAAAGCCACTGTAACTAAAACCAGAAAAAAAAAAAGTCTGCAAAAATCATTGAAAATGCCTATGCAATCATACAAACACTTGGGAGACTGCTAAAATTTGGTATTGGAAGCACACAGAGATGAATGTTCATTAAATAAAATTCAGCACAACATCCTCAGCTGCACTATATGCTCAGGAAAAGGCAGCCCTGAGCCATCCCTCTTTCTCTGGTGACAGGGCTGCAATGGGAATATTGCAACCCTGAGTAGCAATAGTTCAAATCCAGAGGGCTGAGCCCAAAATCTGAGGGCTGAGCTCAGCCACACAAGGTGCACCTGCTCTGTAAGGATCACTTCTCTGAGCAGAGCCTGAGGAGGGCTGTGTTTCAGCCCTGCTTAAACACATCTCTGCAGCATAGGAAGGAGCTTCAGAGAGAGGATTTGTGGCAAGCGGCGAACTTCCTTGCTCTGGTGATAAAGCAGCCTGGGCATTGAAAGAAGTAGAATAGATGTCAGGCTAGGTTGTTTGTCAAGGTAAGAAATTTCTTTTGAGGAAGCTATGAAAGGATTCCACTGAGACTCCTCAACTACCATGACAAAAGGAAGTTTTTTCCCCCAAGGATTTAGGAAGAATCGAAGTCAATTACATTGCTTCAGCACCCTGCATTAGCTCTGGTCCCGACAAAGGACATTGTGGTCACAGACTGTCCTCCCAAATTACATGGAGCTGGAATGGAGGAAGGGCTCTTTTCCATATATCAATACTAACCTCCCCTCAAAATCCTCTAATATGTTTCTCAGCCTGAGTGCAGAATCCAGAATGTACTGGCAGTGTAGCAAAGGTTACTAACCATGCCTTCTGTGGAAAGGGAAGGTGGTGGTAGAGGAGCACCCATTTCATGTTCAAATCCTGTGATATGGGCAGTCTGGGCAAGAGGAAGGAAAAGGAAAAACACATGTCTCAGGGTGAAACCCTCTGCTCATACTGCTGGTTAAAAAACTAAGGGTGAACAGATACATAAGGAAAAAATGCAGAAGAAAAAAAAAAAACAAGACATGAAAAAATTTATACTAGGCAAGAAATTAGATTACCTCCAAGGAAAGACAGCACCTGGAGCTAGGCTCATGTTAATTTGGGGAGTCTAAAGGAATTCATCACACCTTGTCTAGAAGGCCATTGTTTTCCTTCGTCAGAATACAGAGGCTGAGAACAGTGGCCACTATGTATCTGGTACACATGCTCTTGTATAGAGTTAAGTAGGGATCATTTTGCCCTGTGTATCTTTTAAGTTCATTCTTGACAAAAAGTTTTATAGCAAATCCAAAAAAGAACAGGCATGTTCTTCTTTAAATACTGCTGTATTCTATCTGTGGAAAAACCTGGAGAATATGCATATATTCCTTGGCCAAACGGTTAACAGAAAAACACAATCATGTGAAAGTATTTGAATGACGTAAGTTGGAAAAAAAGGGAGATAAACAAATGGACATATTGTCTGAGATGGATATATTACATATATAAGAAAAGTCAAACACAAGAAAAGGTAAACTCTACTACCCGAAGGAGTAATTGCAAAACAACGAAGGCAGAAGTAATTTCTCAAGTAATTTCAATTCCATCACATTGATCACTCTAAAAAGCCAAAGCATGGCAAGGAGATACATAATTTTCTCCTGTTGATCTTTTACATTTTTCTGTGTTTATCACCCGGTTTTACATCAACCAACAGTCAACTACAAATGGGAAAGCAAGAGTCTGTGTCACCTGTGAACGGCCTATTGTCTTTACCACAAAACCTACTTGCATAATTTACATTAGGTGTAACATTCCCACTCTTCCCCTATGCATGTGATGATCATTCTTTGTTTCATACCTTCATCTTGGCTATTTTTCTTTCTCTTATGGTCTTCTTTCTTTTAAATAGAACCTGAATTAAAAGGGCCTATTGTTCAGCATAAGAACTGTAACTTTTGGTCTCAGAATAAGAAAATACACCAAGAAGCAAGGCATTGTCCACTTGAAAACATGCTTATTTTAAAGGATTTTTAAATATAAAAAATAAAACAATCTTTCATGAGCAATCATATAACTTCCAGAAGTTCAAGCTACCATTACTCACATTTTGTGACTATCTATTTCATCATTTTCACGGGGCTATCTAGACCTGGATTGTCTCTATTCTTGCCCCCTTCACAGTGCTGAAATTGTCTCCATTCATTACCTTCTAACACCCAGTTTTCATTTATTTTCACTTAGAACGCGTGCAGAAGGTTAAGACAAATGTCTTAATTGGTTAAGAAATGTTTTCCCCACCCTTTTTTTCTGGATGGTGCCTGAACAATTGTCACAACCAGTCAAATAACTGACTCATCTTTCAGACCACAGAATGCAATCTCAGAACAAGGTCCTCACTTCTGTTTACTTTTCTTTTGCCTCTACTGTTATTATACCTTCCAAAAGTGTTTTCATTCAGCAGAAAAATAAAAGTCCCCATAACAACATCCTTCTTTGGAATTCCTGTACTTTCTTCACACAGCCAATTTATAAGAATATTGAGTTTGTGGTCAAAAAGATCCGTCTTCAGATTTCACCCAGGCCCTCTTTTTTTTTTATCTTGCACCAGCCCAGGATATTTTTTTTTTCTCTGTTGTATAAAATGAGTTGTAATAAATAGCTCCCATTGTGATTGCTGATTTTAGCACATTTAAGGAAGTAGCACAGGTACCACCACACTGTTAACCACAGCGAGTCCTGTGGTTGATAATGGCAGTGCTCACAAAGATGAATCACCAGCAGTGAAACCAGGTCAAACAAACCACATACACACACACGCACAGTGAACCCTACTCAATCAAAAACAAAACCAAAAGGAAGTCACTCCACCAGAAAGGATATCCAGGGAAAGAGATAGGAGTGTAGCTGGGAATGTATGCCTTGTAACATACTCTGCTTTGAATACATTGTTCACAGTATGGACTCGCCTTCAGGAGTAATGATCTGAAAATACTTTATTGAATGTGATACTCTGATTTTTCAATGAAAATTTATGGTTTTGTTCATTTTTCTCACTGCTTCAAATGACAGTTGTACACCTTCCTGTAGAACAGGTTTTCACACACCAGAAGTTCTTATAAATCCTTGCAGGGTTCTGCATTTCACATTTTCTTAACTCTTGCCCCACTAGAATAAATGATTGCCAGGGTAAAGATTATCTATCTTTATTTGTGCTTTCCTACTATCTACCATTCTGGACATCCAAACTCTGTGGGGACTTTCATGTGAATGCCTTCATATAAATCATGTCCATCACCCCTCACTGACAGCAAAGGCAAGAAACACACCACCATAATGCACAGGACAGAACAAAAAAGACAAAACAGAACAATGCTTCAAGACAGGAATGATTCCCTTGAACTGCTTCCCACCCTATGAGAAGGAAAAGAGGGTGAGTCTTAGTCTTTTCTTCTAGCTAAGGAGAAATAATCAAGTTAGTTGCTACACCATCAAGTATTGCATAGCAAAATAGAGGGAGACTTTGCCAATGGACTGGCTGGCTCACTGCATTTTGAGAGCTTTATGAATTCTTAAAAAGCTCTTCCCCTCAGAATGACTTCAGGTGAACAGCACACAGTGCTGGCAGCAGCATTTGACCCTCCTGTTTGGATACTCTATTTCAATACAAGATGGGCCTGAAAATTAAAGAACAAGCACAGTGGCTTTTGAGGAAGAAGTTGCCTTTTTTTAACTTCTCAAGTGTCAAGGCTCAAACAACTGGAGGGCCATTCCACAACCATCCTCTCAGTCAGCCAGACAGCTGGAAAATAAACATTACTGTTCTTCAGAAGGAGAGGGCTGTCACTACAGTGTCCTTCTTGCTACGTCCTTCATTTTCACATCTTCTATGAAGAATAAGTTATGGACTGTATTAACTAGTTTATTTTCCCTAAGCTTCAGCATAACGATCCAGCTAATAGCTGTCTATCACCTTTGTCTCAATAGCAGAGAGCAACTCCAACCCTTGCCTTCATTTGGGAAATGGTAGATAGGAAGAGATAGAAATCCAAACAAACAGTACAGCCCAATGTTTAAAGCTGTTAAGTTTTCTTAACAACTCCCAATGTAAGAATACCTTACTCTTACCAACGTAAGAGTACCTTAAACTTCACAAGGATCAAGGGTGTTCTGAGAGGAGAAAATATGTTCACATTGTAGAACACTGTGCATGTCTGTGAGTTAAACAAATCAGAACTACCTACAAACAAACAATAGAGTTTTCCTCTTGGTGAACTATACCACTGTTTCCCTAAACATTAAGAGTCATAGTGTGTTCACTATCAGCCAGGCACCTATCCTGTCACTGTACATTCACAGTAGAAAACCCTCTTTCCAGTGCGTGTTACTCATAAATGTGCTAAACCAGACTGACTCGCTGCCCTTCTGTGTTCTAAGGTGAATTAGGAAAGGGTCTGTTATAGGATGATACAGGCCATTCTTTTGTAATGGTCTGCAGTTTTCTCTCCCAATACATTTTCTTTTTATTTAGAACTTCCATTTTTATCCTGTGTTCTTCTTCAGCCATCTCACACTCTCTTTCTATTTGCTGTATCTTTGCCACATGAACTTCATTCATTTGGATTAACTGGAGTTGCAAAATTGACATTTGCTGATGATGTTCTTCCTCATGCATCTTTTTCAGAGCACTTTCCTGAGATGCTTTACTTCTGTAGTTCTTATCTGCTGCTATTCTGACATCAGAACATGAAGGCTCAGGCTGGGAGGTACCTTCGCATACTGGAAAATGTACCAGCTCTTTGTCTTCATCACAAAGTTCTCTGTTTGACACAACAAATGACTCTGCAAACAAAAGAAGAAAAAGTGTTACATTATTCTCTTCCCTTCCTTCAAGAAACAGAAATGTGATAATATAAGTGACTTACATGTGCATATGAAACTTGTGCTCCAGTAGCAAAGCACAGGAGCCACTACATAATGCAGTTCTGCTGCAGAATACTAAGGGCATAATGGGCTGAACAAGACCGCTTGGGGCTCTGTTGAAAGACCTGCAAGGCTATAGTGGGAATTCAGAAGACTAAACTGAATGCAGACACTTGTAAGTGGACACCTAAATTTAGGTGGCTGAGCCTGGAGCTAAACCTTAATGCAGCCACTTAAGCTAAATCCTATGTGACTTGCAATATTTTATGGAAGATCTGAGTGTCAGGTGAAGCTGTGTCAACATGAATATCAAATGACTGAGGGAATAGTAGGAAGAACACTTCTTATTCTTTCCTTATTTCTGCTGCAGATGTAAATACAGTAGTGAAATTTTTTAGGAAAAAATCACATTATTCTAACTGAGAAGGCTCTACCAATTCTTCTGAAAGAAAAGAGACCACGCAGGGAACAGAACAGTTACCACTGCAAATGAGGGTCTCAAAATACATTTCTATCCAAAACAAAATGACTAATTATGGTAAATAGAATTATGAAAGAGGCATTCCAAGAATGCTATCTAACAATGTAGCTGCTGTTGTCTTTTGAACAAGGACAATCTTCTGTGTGAGATCCCACCATAATAAAATTTGCAATAAACTGTTGCAGCCACCCTCCCTCCTGGTATTGAATTATTCCTTCTGGGTATGCTTGCCAAACAAAGAAGAATGTAGTGGTGAACTTTTTCAGAAAGGCGATTCTCCAGTGTGGACTGCAGTGTGAAATATGGCTCCACATACTCTTTTTAGTCCTTGAAAACAAAGGAGGAAAGACCACAGGGAACTCTTGCAGCAGGCAATTGTGTATCAATTTGCTGCTGGTAGCTTTCTTTTTTTCTTTTTAAACCACCAAAATGATACTTTAAAAATGATAAAGATATCCTTGGGACTATTCTTTGGAAAGACAGCATGATAGCAACTGTGATGCTTGCCACAAAGCAGCAGATATGTCTGCTGATGAAAACGGATGAAAAAAAATCTGTAAAAACCTCACACCCGTTTAACTCCTGAAGGCCTCAGGAAATACACACAGCCTTGTAATATCATAGCTCTGAAATTACTGTTCTATATCCAGCAGTCATAGCTAAGTGGAAAGATTTGAAAAAGAATCACTGGCAAAATCACATACAAAACACTACTTGCATCATTACAGCAACATTTATACCTTGACTAGAAGCATCAGGCTGATATTCAGAGTCTTCCTCTGGTGGGCTCTGCAAAAAGTACATTTGCTCAGGCATTATGCTTCCAATCTTCTCTTTCCCCACGATGTGAGTATTTATAAGTGGACTAATACTTCTTTTTACCTTCTCCCGTCTTTCATGTGCCATTATCTTTTTTGTCCGTGCCTTGATATTTTCCCAGCATTTCTTTAACTGTTTGAAGTCTCGCAGTGATACACTGGGCTGTGAATTATATTCATGAGCTAGTGCTTGCCAGGTGCGCTGTTTCAGAGCAATAGTTCTTGCATCACTTTTTTTACATTCAAGCACATATTTGTATTTTTCAACTAATGCAAGCAGCACACTCTTCTCCACTTCTGAGAAGTATTTAGCAGGCTTTATTATTTCGTTTTGCATTTTCTCCTGTTTCTCCAAGAAGCCAAAATTCCTATGAAAACAGTGATGAAAGAAAAAAAGAAAAAAGAAAACCAAACACAAATTAGAACTGGTTGCAATATGGGGAAACTGTCTTTCAGCAAAAAAAACCCAAAAACCTACTAAGCATAGCTTCTGATTAATTTTATTTTCTAGAATAGCTTGTGAATAGTTCTAGACCACATAATGAAACGATCAGGTAAGATAAAACAGAATTACATGCTGGTTTGTGTTGCCTCTTTAGTGGATACAGAGTGACAGAAGTAGACTACAATGAATGGTTGTCTTTGTTACAATTTATCTGGATACAAAATACTCAGTATTTACTTAGTATCTTGCTTTTAATATCATGTTTTCCTGTTCATTGCGCTTTTTCACTTCCAGAAAGTTTTCCAAGCACTGAAGTCAGGAACAAATTCCAAACCCCAGCCTTCGCTAGCTTCACATTTATGTCTAAAGCCACCTTCAGCATGTTTGGGTTTCCTTTGATTTAAAAAATACCCTCTTCTGTCCTTGCTGATTGCGTATAATTAATTTCCCCATCTCTCTCCAATATTTGAAAGCTCATTTGTATGAGCAAAGATAGCAAGAAATTGTCTTTTTAAAGACCTGTCAGCTTTGTACTTCCCCACACTCCATCCCCCCCTGAATGATACCCAGTAGGCAGCAGGATCCTGACCTGTATTACAATATTGAGAAGCAGCAAGAGTTGCAAGGAGACAAGAAATAACAACAGAAACAAACCACGTGGAAGGTACAGGTCCTTCGCCCTTGACTGCTGGCCCTGCATGTGTGGCACTTCCTTGCACATGTGCTGTTGGTCACTCAGGAGTCAACAACCAGGCTAAAAAGAGTTCTGGCTTTAACACAGCCACTGCTATACACTTACACCATGTCAGCAACCACCTCTCTTCTCAAGTCCAGCACTTATATAGTCAATAGGAAAAAGGTAGCTGATAACAGGGAATTAGTGGCCATTTGAAAAACAAAAGCAGTGTTGCCTTCAGTTAACAATATATGACTGTGAAACAAAATATCCTTTTGCTTCTTCTGTCTCTTCATACTTTTCCCCCCCCCTTCCTTTCTGCTGTAACTGTGCAGTCCAAATTACTTTTAGATTTTGGGCAAAAATGCAGCCCCAGCTCTCATTTCTTTTATTTTTAGTCATTAAACCAAATGATACATTTATAGGATAACTGGTTCATATTCCTAACAGTCTAGGACTCTCCCAAAATGAATTTTCTAGTCTTTTGCCTATTGTTTCTACTACTTTTCTTATAACATTCCTTGACGATGCATTAGATAGCACCATCAGGTTTCCTCTTCTCAATATATTTTTGATTAACTCCACTGCACTAGGACTTTCTTTGTGCCATCCTTGTAGTTCCTTTCCTCCAAACATCTTAGTACTTACAGTTATTCCCATCTCTTTCAGTAAAGGTAACTACTTATATTTATAAAGAAAGCTAACAGACAAGCTAATATCGAAATGAAAGCCCAAGCCTGATATTAAAACAGTGGCTCTCTTGAGTAACCCATAAAATATGACAAAGCCCAGCTGTCCTGGTTTCAGCGGGGATAGAGTTCATTTTCTTCCTGGAGGCAGGTACAGTGCTGTATTTTGGATTTAGAGAGAATAATGCTGATAACACATGGATGTTTTAGTTGATGCTCAGTGGTGCTTATTCCAAGTCAAGGATTTTCAGTTCCCCATGCTCTGCCAGAGAGCAGGTGCACAAGCAGCTATGAAGGAGCACAGCCAAGACAGCTGATCCAAACTGGCCAAAGGGATGTTCCATACCACGAAATGTCACGTTCAGTGTATAAATGAGAGGGAGTTGGCCGAGACCTGCAGGTGATGAGCAATCATATTGTGCATCATCTGTTTCTCTTGAGTTTTCTTCCTCTCTCTCTCTCTCCCCCCCACTACTTTCTCTTTTCCACTACAACAATTATTATTGTTAGTAAATTTTGTTTCAATTATTAAGCTGTTCTTATCTCAATCCACAAGTTTTACTTTTTTTTCTGATTCTCCTCCCCACCCCACTGGGGCCAAGGGGCGAGCAAGCAGCTGCACAGTACTTGGAGTACTTGGTTACTGGCTGGGGTTAAACAATGATGCTAGCAAAATAAAGGAGTCAAAGAACAGGGGACATAGTGGAAAAAAGCCTGGAATAGCAAAACTGAAGCAAAGTTAGTAAGTAGAAATAAGTAACAGTCTAGGTCAAGTAAGTAGCTAAGTTGTACCCCTACTGAAAAAAGAGCAAACACTTGGTTTGCACCTTCTGTCAGTGCTTAAGTGGGTTATTCAGTCACCTGTGTGGGTCCTGCATAGTCACAGTTCTGCTCTCTCTTACCAAATCCTGGTGTCACAAGGACATGGGAGAGCTGAAGATTTTGCAGCAGACAGGACCAAGGGGACTAAGGGAAAGGTCCATAGCAAAACAAAATGTAATAGTGCTACTGGTAATAGAAGAGCTAGTTTATCTTACATTAAAGCAAAAGGAGGAAGAAGGAAGAGAGTTGGGCGGCTGCATTTAAGGAAAACAGTTTCTTGGTTCAATATTTACTCAGTCACACTGTATCAAGTTTGGTTTGTTTTTTTTGTTTTTTTTGGTCTGTGAAAACTTAAGTCACCCCCCCCCCCATATTGGTGACATGAATTCTTAAACAGCTATAAACTGACAGCACAAACTAGGTGTAAGCAAATAAACTGCTTTAATGCATACCAGTTATTACAATGTCTAGGCCTAATAGAAGTGTACAGCTGCTTCAGGAATTCCTTAAATAAAACAAACTAGGAAAAAAAAAAAGAAAAGGTAGTAACAAAATTGACATCCTAGCAAAGATACTGAAAACTGGCAAATTCGCTCCATGAAGCCACTCTATAAACACACAAATTAAAAGAGATCTGGAATGGAATAGAATGTATCTACTAATCTATTTTACTTACATACTTGTTGCACTATTCCAAACCATTAAGTTGCTTTAGAGAGATGCTGAAATGAAATTCTTGGGACTAAATATTGGTTCTATATCTTAATCTCAATTCCACCAAGAAATGGGATGAAAAGCAGTCCCACTGGAAGTTGTGAAGCCCAGTAGCTTTTGACCCTGAAAAACCAGGATTACTCCATGCGATCAGAAAGGACTGATTCTACCTTCTACTGATACATGTAAATCTTACTTCTAGTTTTGAAAAGGTGAGAGAATCTCAGACAAAAAAAAAATCATTACATGTTTATTTTTAGAAAATCCCTTTATTTAGAAAATAAATAAACTTCTGGATTTTCAGAAGTTTGGAGACTACATTCAAAAAGTTAAACATTACTAGGACTTCTGGATTCCAGATGCTACATATCTAGCTCTACAGACTGGCCAAGAGCAGCTGATGTCAGTAAATATCTAAAACATTTATAAATATGACTTATCATATATTAACAAATTATGAACTAGAATAAAAGCTCATCTTTCATAGATGGAGCAAATTTAAGTATCACTTTCATACCACACTATCATTTACTTCTGTTATTTTTACTGTTGTAGCTTCTGAGATCCCCAGTTGTAAGTTAAGCTCAAATACTAAACATTAAAGAATGGAAATATAAGTCCTACTCTGAGAAGAATATATTGGTCTTTCCTTGCACTAATAACATTCCTAGTATTTGTTTCCTAAACATACACATTGTATTTGTGTCCTTCCTGTGAAGAAGCCAGGATTATGATCTAGGATGCATAAAGGAACTCAAGAACTTGTGTGGGCAGTTTAATACACAGAAGAAAAGAGTTTTGGAAGACTCTTCTCAAGCTCTTACATGCTTAACCTACTTTCTTCAATGTATTAAAGCCCAAGGTGTCAAGAAAGGTGCCATCCTGAGATGGCAGGAGAAGTTACAATACAGGGAAGTTGAATCAGAACACCACCATGTATTTATATTCACCTCTTTTTTCTTTATGCATATTATTCACCTTCTTGCAGCCCACTGGCTCCTCTGCAGAATATGAGAAAGGACTCACAAGCCCAGAATTTCCATTTTGAGGCTAAACAGTCCTTGCAGGACATATGCCTGGGATATAATTTAGCAGGAATCTGTGCTGAAATCAAAGCAGTTTACTGTGCATAGCTCATCCCGTAAACTGGATTGATTTGTGTGGGCACATGAGGACAGTTGGTGAGTAAATTCTAAGAAACAAAGACTGGAAAGCTTCTCCCACTCTTACAGGTGCCTAGGCTCCAAGACACAAGCAGTAAGAAAGCATTTTATCCTAAATATCTTCTCCTGGCATGACTCAATTCACAACCTTAAAACAAAGCAGTGTCCTAAGTATTTGTCCTCTCACACAAACCTCTATAGCTTCAAGATAAGAGAAGTATCTCTCAGTTCCTCATCTCTACTGTGAAATGTTGTGCAGCATTCTTCTTTTAAAGACTATAAGGCATGTGATGTGATCTGCTGGAAGAATAGCTTGAAAAAAGAATTACACAAGTTAGGAAATGCACATATGATCATAAATATTTCACACACATGCATTATTTTGCTTGCACACATCTAAACAGACACCCAAGCTCCACTCAATTGCATAGAAGCCCAGTAAAAGGAAAAAAAAATAGGTTTAAGTTGGCATGTATGAGCATTTTTAGTCCATGAAATGTTTTTTTAGGCACAAGAAAATGCAGAGAGAAAGTTATGGTCAAAGACTTGTCCCAAATGTTAAAAAGGTTACATTAACCAAACCCAAAGGAAAGAGTTTATTAGCAAACTGTGGTCGCTTACGGGGTGAAAATGAAGTTCACTGACCAGTGCCAACAGAATTACTACCAGAAATATTCAAAGATTGATAAAAATAAAATTTATGTCTCTAACTTAAATTCCAGGTGAAGCTCTAAACATAGCCAGTAATTAACAACATTGGAAATCAATTATAATTCTGTCCTTTTTATCCAGTGCTCGAGGAGGAAAGAAAGACATGGAAATGCAATGACCCAAACTAGTCACAACGGGTTTATATTTTGTTTGAATGACAGAAGCAGCAGTAAACAGTGTTCTTGTTCCTCAAATGTTTCCTTGGTTTTCCTCACCAAGCTTCCATCGGTGTGCCAGGCCTGACCCTGCCTACCTTGAAACTTGAAATCACTAGGTAATCAAGAGCACATTGCAAATATGAATGAGATCTATACAGGAAATGTGCTTTAATCAGATTTTTTAAAATCCCACCTCCTTGGGTGCTTTCCCCCCATGCTTTAATACAAATGAACAGTTATCGTGGATCATCCAGCAAACAAACAAGCTCATCTACTAGTAAAATTCACAGTACTTTACCGAAATTTATCCTGTCAGATTTTACATAGCTATACCTGGAAATGTATTTATATATATGTGTATATATATCTCTGGATCATATCACACTATAGATATACACAGATGGATTTTAAACGGGTCATCCCGCTACCTATGGAGGACATCCAAAGCACTTCCCGCAAGCAAGGTAATGGACGCAGGTTGTTATTCCGAACGACTGCCTGAAATCCACCAAAAATAGGCATAATATAGGAATCCTACCAGACTCTCCCGCACCCGAACTTCTCAAACATTAACTCGAGCTTGGGGGGGGTTTGCAATCTCCTCGCTAGCTCCTCTTCTGCTTGAAGGAGAAAGCAGAGCAGGTCCCGGCTCCACAAAGGCGGCCGCTCCCCGTCGGGCGGGCGCGGGGGCTGCGGCGCGGTGCGGGCGCATCAGCGGCGGCGGCGGGGGGGGCTCGGCGGGCGGGCGGCCGCTGTCACCCAGCGCCCGCGGGGACCAGCGCCGGCGGCGGGGACAACCCCACCCTGCGGCCCCGCTGGCTCCCCGTAACAAAGCGCCTCTCGGCTCCCTCCCTCCCTCGCTCCCCGCCTCCCTCACCTCCCCGCCCGCAGGCCGCCGCCACCGCTCCCTCCAGCTCCCCGCAAACCCCGCGCTGGATTCCCGCCCGCCGCAGCACGGGCGGCGCGGCGCCGGCCTCTCCCGCGGGAACACCGCCGTGCCACCCGGCCCGGGCCTGCAGGTGCGGCGGCGCTGCGGGGAGGCGGCCGCGGAGAGACGCGCGTGTGTCTCTATGTGTGTTTATATGTATGTATGTATGTATGTGTGCGTGTGTTGTAGGGAGCGGCGTGCGAACACCCAGCGGCCGCCAGGAAGGGGGTGGGCAGCCCCGCCTGCACCGGGCGCGGGCGGAGTTCCCGGGACGCACGTCCCTAGCGCGGCGTGCCCATCCCGGTCCCGGGGCCCTGGAGCGGAGCGGGATGGGGAATCCCCGCCCCGGTGCGGCGGCCGCGGACCCAGCTCGGGCTTTACCTCCGACAGCGCCCGGCGGCCCCGCGCGCCTGCGCGCCAGCGCCCCCAGCGGCGGCTGCGGGAAGGGCCGGGGGTGGCTGCGGCCGCCCCGTTCCGTTCCCGTTCCCGTTCCCGTTCCCGTTCCCGTCCCCGCCCGCCGGCGCCGAGCTCCCGGCCCGCGATACCGCCGGTGCCGTGCCCGGCCCGGCCGGGCTCCCGCCGCCCTCCCGTGCCTCCCCGCGCCCGCCGTGGCGCAGCTCCGTCCCGCCCGCGGGTCGGTGACAGGTGGCGGTGCGGCAGCGGGGAGCGCCCTCGGCTCCTCCGGGCTCTGGACGCTGCCCGCCCGCCGCGGTGAGTTGCGTGCGGCGGGGCCCGGCGGGAGCAGTGTCTGCGTCCCCCTCGGCGGGGCTGGAGTGCCGGGAAGGGCGCTCTCCCGCCTGGCGCCGCTCTTGGCGGGCGGTTTGGAGCTTCGGGGCCTCCCTGCTTCCCTTCCTTCGCTCCTTTCCCTCCCTCCCTTCTTTTCTTCCTCCCCCGTCCCTTGGCCGCCGCGGGCCGGGTGGGACGTGTCCTTCTTCCCGAAGCCCGCCGTGTGCCTCCTGTTCCCAGGCGCTGCGTGCTGGCTGTGCCCCATGTGTGTGTCAGCTGTCCCAGCCCCTGCGCGCGGTCCTGTCCCAGGAAAGAAGGGGGGAGCTTGAAATGGTCCGGATTAGTTTTTGTTTCATTAGTTTTTGTTCTGCGTAATCTTCTAGTGACGTTAATGTTTCCCGAGGGAAGCTCGCGGAGAACAATTGTTTCTTTCCATGCTGTAGTTTTGCTCGCGAGTTGAAAATAGGATCATTAGTCTGGACATTCAAAGGTTGAATATAACTCAAGGCGAGGCACAAAATAAAGCTGGAATGTGCCCAACCCTCATATAGGCGGAACAAAAATGTAAATAATTTTGTGGAACTTAAACAACAGCTTGCAATCTTTCTGTATTTTTCCTAGAATTTTTTATTATCTAAAGACTGAATATGGACCCTGAAAGTGAAATAAAGAAGCAAATAAACCCCTTTTACTGCAATGTAAGTATTCACTTACAAAGTTGTACTAAACCAAGTGTGAAAGTTCATTTTTTCTCTTGAGCAAGCTTGATAAATAGCACTGGAGCTGAACTTATTTTGGTGTCTTTGTCATGTTTGACTTAGATGTGTGTTAAGATTATTATTATAGTGAATAATAATATGTTTCTAAATAAATGCATTATTTTTAAAAGTGGATGACTAAGCGTAGCTCCTGTTCAGACAAAAAATCTTGATTTCCTTGGTTGTCAGGTTTACTGCTGTTTTTTTAAAGCATCCTGGGATTTTTAGAAGAGAAGAAAATTTGGGCTGCTGCTGTTCATTCACATGAATTTAAACCTAGTCTGCTCCCGTTCCAAACTGGCCCAGGCATAAACCAGCTGTGATAGGGAAGTTTTCCAAAGGGGGCGAGGCAGGCCCTGAACTGATCAGAGTAAGTGTGTTAGTGTGGATGCAGCACTGAGAACTGGCTCACCTCAGGCCGGTGTCATGGCTTGTCACAATTATGCCATGCCTGTGGCTCACCCTTCCTCCAGAGTGTGTGAGGAAGGTCTTGGATCTGTCTTCACTTAAAACATATTATGTTTTATAAAAACTGACTTAATTTGTGATATGGGACACATGCCCACACAGAAAGTGTTATGAGATAGCTGCAGAGTTCTGCAGCATCTGAAATTCTTATGTGGTGTGGAGAACCTGGTTAATTCCACTGTGTTTTGGTGGTCTTGGAGCCTTATAGAATTAAATTTTAGGAGGCTGCTCTAGTTTGTATTTGAAGTAGTAGTACTTTTTAGAACTTAAGCTATCCCAACAATTTGGTAGTAGATCTGTTTTGGTATCAGTAGTATGTTATTTCTCTTGGTGTGTGTGCAATGCTAGAAATACTTCTCTTTAACCTAGATTTGCAAAATCTGGTGTTCTTCTGCATTAAACTTGCAGACTCATTTCCTTGGAGCAAAACACAGGACGGTAAGATCAGTTTTTGAATGTACCTTTTGTCAGATTTTACCAATTTATTTAGCAATAGATTATGGGATTTGAAATATAGTTTTGGTGTGGTGGTGAAACATACAATTTCAGATATTTAACTAGTTTTGCTAATTTACTGTCTTCTCTACAATGATAAAATAGAACGTGGTTTTGTACAATCATCCTATCAGAAAATGTTACATCTTTATGTCTAGTAAATACAGTACATTAGACTACATGGCTGTTAATAAAGGGAGAATGGAATTACTTAAATCATAGACAATTTCCAGAAGAAAAACGGATGTTTTTATTTTTAAATTTTCATGTACTTATTCACCTGAGATAGTCTATGCTGTTGGTATTAATCTAACATATATAATAAAAGCTTTTAATTATTATTTTTTGAGTCTTAAGTGCCTTCTTTTTTCGTTGATGACTTGGTAATTTAGGTTGAAGAAGCATTGAAAACTCATGGCATGCGTAAGTGCAAGATTTTTTTTGCTTCCTGCTGTGTTCTGTACCCACATTTTTCTCCCTGCCCCAATGTAGGTTTTTATGAAACAATGAGAAAAATACTTTCTCAAGACCTGTGCTTTAAGACCTGTCCTGTGTTTTTTAATAACTACCTAATCAATGTGAGCAAGAGATATGCGAAGTTGATTAACAAACACTAGCTAGAATACTAAAAATCACCTACATTAAATTTTTGAGAAACCCTGAAGAATTCAAGACATGAGAGACCTTCAAAATTTAAAATATAATCTAAAAACCTATGCTTTTTAAAGCATGTAGAAATAATGTATATACTTTTTACTTGTTTTTGAAAAGGGGTTACTTGCTTCAGCTATTTAAGATATTTTTAATACTTTTAATAGGTTTAATAAATTGTTAAACCTCCTCTGGGTCTTGATGAACTGGTCTAGTTCCAGAAGGAGTGAAGGTCTAACTACACTCACAATTGTCCTCCTAATTTGGTTTCATGATGCACCAAAATGTCTTTTCGGTTTTCTACAGTTCATTGCTCCTAGAATTTGGTTTGAAAGTTGTTGTTCAAGTCAGACATAGTCATTGGACCTACCTGATCTGAGAATTTTTATTTGGACTGTAGTGGAAATGTAAGTGAAGAAATATTTAGCAGTTGTATGCTGCTGAAATAAATGTCCTGAAATTCCTGGATGCCCTCAAATATTTAGAGACATTGAACTTCATTGATCTTCCTCTCTGCCTGCTTCATTGAATTGCCTGACATGCAATAACTTTGTTGTTGTTTGGTGTGAATGTTTTTTGTCCATCCTTTGGAGTGTGGTGCTGATGACAACGGGGTCATGAGTTCATGGGTTCAGTCCTTGTACAGGACTCGATGATCCTTGTGGGTCCCTTCCAACTCAGAACAGTCTATGAATCTGTGAAAAAAATCTCTTAGCATGTTCAAAACTTAAGTTAAACATCGCTTTGTTTTCTCATGTCAACAGAAGCTCAAAGAGTTTTTTTCAAGTAGTTAGTCGTTATTTTACCAAATTATTTTTATACTAACAATTTTATTTCCGCTTCTGTGGGATTTTTAATTTTCTCTTTTTTTTTTTTTTTTTTTTTTTTTTTTTTTAAAACAGAAAACTGCTTAGGGAAGAAACTGAAAACACCTGTGAAACTTCCTGATTTTGGTAAGAATGTTTAATGTTTCCCCCACACCTCCCTCCCCCCACCCCAAAAAAAGAACAAAATGGAAGAAATAAACATTTTTGAGGTATAATATTACAAGTAATATCCAGATCCTAGCAGGTCATTGGGAATTCATTTTTGTTCATTGTATTTTCAGTCTGCAATAATATTTTCTGATAATACTTGATTTGTACAACTTAAATGCTTTAAAAAGAGAGGAAATAAGATTGGGGGGGCATAATGTTTTATAATGACTGACTTAATTTGTGACATGGGACCATGTATGAGCAGGGATTTATACAGGAGTCAATAATCCTTGTGGGTCTCTTCCAAATCAAAATCATCTGTGAAAAAAGATCTCTTAGCACATTCAAAACCAAATATAGTTTCATTTTGTCATATCAGCAAAAGCTCAAAGAGTTTTCTCCTAAAGTAGTCAGTTATTTTACTAAATTGTTCTTTCAATTGTACTAACAATTTTATTTCCACTTCTTTCAGATTCTTAACTTTTGTTTTCTTCTTTTTTTTTTTTTTTTTAAGTTAAAACAGAAAGTTGTGTAGGGAAGAAAGTGAAAACAGCTGGGAAACTTCCTGATTTTGGTAAGAATGTTTAATGTCTCTCCCCACGTCTTCCTGAAAAAAAATTTTTAAATGGAGGAAACAGAAAATTTTGAGGTACAACATTACAAGTGGTGTCTAGATTTTAGCAGGTCATTGGGAATTAATTTCTGATCATTGTACTTTCAATCTGCAATAATATTTTGTGACAATACTTAATTTTTGCAACCCAAATGCTTTAAAAATAGTGGAAATAAGATTGGGGGGCATAAGGGTTTATAATAACTGACTTAATTTGTGATGCATATGAGCAGGGATTCACTTGTATGTGAATTTCTTACAGTGCCACTTGAGCCAGAGAAGTTTCATGGACAGACATTGGAAGACCAGCTTAATACATGTAAAGATACAGAACCTGCACTTGGTGAGAGCTTTTAATATGTAATTGTTTGGGTTTGGGATATTTACCTTTAAAGAGTACGGGTCCGTTTTTTAAAATGTAAAATTAGGTAATGTCTAACAAAGTCTTTTTATGGTTGCACTGAGTACCCAATAGAATGGTATGGAAGTGACAGTTCATAGTGATAAAATCATTGGCTTTGGCCTGGAACATAATTGGTTAGATACCTCATGTTGACAATAGTCTCTAGAAACAAACTAAAGTGATAGAACAGAAATGAATTTTAACTTTGAAGGTTAGTGTGGTGCTTTGCAATTTAACTACCCAATTTCAATTAAATTAATTTAATTTAATTTTTGTATAATGTAAAAGACCAATAGCAATGAAGAAACTATTCCATCTTTCAAATGCTTTAAAAGGAATGTATTTATAAGTGATACATATTAGATAATGTGATGCATATTAGATTATTAAGTACTATGGGGAGGGGAGATAGGAGTTGACAGAAAAAACAACTAAGGACATATATTAAAATACATTCCCTTCTAATTAGTTTAAAAAATAATTGTTGCTATTAATTTTTAGGATTTAGGATTAAAAATTTGTTGAGTCCTATATGGTAAGCATAAGATATCCTAAAAATATAAATTTTATACCTTTGGTGTTCAAAAAGTCTACAGACCCAAATGATAAAAATCTGATGGTTCTAAAAGTCTTCACTGATGTATTTGACATGCAGTAGTAATCTTTTCTTTATATGTCAGTGCTTTAAGATCAGTTCTTTTGCAACTAGCACTGATGATTTGTTCCAGCAAACATAAAATTTCCTAAGTTGTTTGGGTTTTTTTTCAATACAGGACTTAATTACATAATAGAATACCGAACAAAAGACAACGTTCCTTTTCTCTATGAATGTCAACTATGCTACTGTAAAACAGGACTGAGTAACATGTTCATGCATGTTTGTGGTTCCAAGCACAGACTGGCATACTTGGTAAGTTGGTTTTTTTTGGATTTTTGTTTGTTTTAATGTAATGATTAAAGGGGATAATTTTTTAGTCATATTTTGATTTTAAAAAAAGATCAAATTTTAGGTTTTACATAAGCTTCTGTGAAAATCTTGGTATTGCAATTGTGCAACTGTTATGAATAGACTTAAAATTCTCATCAGTAATGTGT